GTCCATTCACCTCCCGTAGTTTCCTCCGAGAGCATGGTCATCCACCTAAGCGCCAGCCGGTCCTTGGGTTCTAGGGATCGGCTGCGTTTTCGGCGGAGCTCATGCTGGTGGCGCGTTCCTCGGCGATCAGATCAATGGGCGGTAGTGACGACAAGATACCCGCGCGCCACTCCGGACACTATTCGGTACGCCGAAACTTTTGTTTATGATAAGGCCCACACAGCAAGCTGTGTAGGAGTTAAATTGTACCTGCCCGTGAACCAGACCGTTTCGGTCTTGTTCAGGGCTAGGCTAAGTCCACTCCCATCCTACTGGATCCAGGCGGTGATTTCGCTAAGCGCGCAGTTCACACAAGATCCATTAACCTCTTCAGCGTGTCGTCTGCATAGCAGACGACGCACACATGCGATAGTAGTGGAACGCGGAACTCCGCGTCGTTTGCGATGTTCTACTGCAGAGGCCCGAGAACTGACTCTTGCAGGACGCCTCCCATAACAGGTCTGACTCTCGGGCCCGCGGCGCTCTTATAAGAGATGACCCGATCGCTAAAGTACGACCGGATCATCCGCCCGAGGTAAGGAAGCATCCGAAACGCGTCCAGCGCTCTAAGGATGTGTGACCATCGCACGGAGTTGAACGTGTTTCCAGGCTAACCGCTACCCCGAAGCCCTGTTCAGTTTTGGCCCTGAAGGCCAAATTCCTGAAGGAGGCCGTGCGTCCATCGACTTCCTCCTCCTAAAACCGAACTGGTCCTCAGCCAGCCCACCGACGTCGGCCAGGTGGACTTCGATCCGGGTGACGAGCAGGCGTTCGAGGATTTTCCCCAATTTGTCCAACATGCAGAGCGGTTGGTACGACGAGGGGAGACTTCCTCAGAAGCACCAACCTGGAAGCAATGGACCGCAGATCTTTCGTATTACGACCCTATAGGGTTTTCCTCACGGGTCTTGGTCCACCGACTTCACTACCTGGCCGCAACCTTCTCGTTCCACCAATGGACTGGCGGTCCACGAGTCGACGACGGTCGTTTGGCCGGAAATGGCGAAGTCGCAGGCTGCGACCCCCTGCGCTCTAAATCTTCCGCCGCTTCGCTCGCGGAGACGTGCCGATTCGGTACTGCGGGCGCCGATCATTGAACGAGTAGCAAGCCCGTCTCGAATGCGTTAACCTCCCAGTCCACTCGCCAACCGTGGAACGACGCGCGGGCCGCGACTCGAGGAGGACGGCTGCCGTGGCCACTGAGGATTTCCCTATTTGGGAGAATCGACCGCCGGACATGTGCGGGTGCAGCGACGAGGACACCAGCGTGACGTCCACCACCGAGCTCGAGGAGTGAGCATTAAAATTCCCGGCCACGAGCTCCCCGCGGCCATCGCATGACCACCCGAGTCTCCTCGCCCTTAGGCAGGAAGAGACACTGCGCGTCGTATGAGGAGGGTGGATCTCATGTAAACTGCGCGCTCAGCGCAGTCACCGCCTGGATCCAGCAGGAGGGGAGTGTACTGAGCCTAGCCCTGAACATGACCGAAGGGGTTTTGTTCACGGGTAAGTACAAGTTCACTCCACCGTCGACTCGTGGACCGCCAGTCCACAGGTGGAATGAGGAGGTGGTAGCCAGGCGGAAGGGGTGCGTTAGGGTGAGATGGGCCATGACGTGCTCCAACCGATAGCTTAGGGACTCGGAATCCCCGGACCTGAGGGAGGCCTTGAGGTCGGCCTACACACAGCTGAAACATCAGGTGGGCCAAAGCGAAGTGCTGGGCCGAACTCGTGAAGTCGGTGGACCACGACCCGTGGGGTAAACCCTATTGGGTCGTCATGCAGAAGCTCCGCGGTCCACCGTCTTCGGGTCAGCTGGAACCGGACGTGTTGGAATGAACGGTAGATACGCTCTTTCCGACACATCCGCCCCTGTCTCCCTCAGTGTTCGGGGATGACGTGTCGGCGGAGGAATTCATCGCCCAGGATGTGGCTGACGCGCGGTCGGAATACTGCTCTTGGCCCCGATGTGATTCCAAACCGGGTGTGGAGGTTGGTAAACAACCTCACCCCGGATTGGATACGCACCGTCGTGAATCGCTGCCTTTTGGACGGTGAATTCCCCACGAGGTGGAAGAAGGCCACGTTGGTGCTTCTGAGGAAGGGTGACAAGCCCGAGGGTCTCCCCTCGTTGTACCGACCGCTCGCATGTTGGTCGATTTGGGGAAGATCCTCGAACGCCTGCTCGTCACCCGAATCGAGGCTCACCTGGCCGTCTTCGGCGGGCTGGCCGAGGGCCAGTATGGTTTTAGGAGGGGGAGGTCGACGGACGATGCGGCCTCCCTCTTCAGGGACTTGGCCCTCAGGGCCAAAACTGAGCAGGGCTTCGGGGTGGAGGTGAGCCTGGACATCCGAAACGCATTCAACTCCGTGCGTTGGTCACACATCCTCGGAGCGCTAGAATCCAAGAGTCAGAGCTGTTATGGGAGGCGTCCCGCAAGGGTCAGTTCTCGGGCCTCTACTGTGGAACATCGCGTACGACACGGTGTTCCGCGTTCCGCTACCACCGCACGTGCGCGTCGTCTGACACGCTGGTGGTGGCGGAAGGCGCCTCGTCCGAGGAGGCTGTATCTCGTGCAAACTGCGCGCTCAGCGCTGTCACCGCCTGGATCCAGCAGGAGGGGAGTGGACTGAGCCTCGCCTTGGACAAGACCGAAGCGGTCTTGTTCACGGGCAGGTACAAGTTCAGTCCTCCACGACTCGCCGTGCTGGGAGTGGAGATCTTGCTTAAGGACTCCATGACTTATCTGAGCCATGTCATAGACAAACGTCAAAAGTTCGGACCGCACATTACTTGTGCGACTTAGCGGGCCCAAAAAGTCATGAATTTTCTAGCGGGACTCATGCTCAATCTGAGAGGGCAGAGGGAGATGCGGCGCACACTTTTTGTCAGCGTCGTACACTTGGTCCTCCTGTGCGAATACTCTTGAGAGGCGAGTGGACCAGGTCCCTCATATCGTAATCTTCCATGTTAATTACTGGCTTTTATGTAAATTTTTTGAGAAACTTCTTGTTTTGCACACCATTTACATAAAATCGTAAACATCGATCGGCAACTGCATTCAATATCGTTTGTAACTCTGCATAATCAATCTAGCCGTCAGTATGATCTAATTTGTGTTTATTTCGATGCAGCCACTTAGTAACTCTAGCTGATTTTAGTCGTCATGAAGAAATTATCAGGTGGTTTTACATAAAATGATTTAAACTATCAAACGTATATACAGATAATTCTTTTACAATTAATATACATTTGTAGTCTACGATGCATTTAAAATCGACTACTATTGCCTAATCCATTTTTTATGAATGTTGAAACTATACTAAATCGATTTTATGTATCAAACTGCCTTTTTTTAAACCACACCATTTAACTAGACAGAGATCATTTTTGTATCGTAAAATTTTTTCAATGAGAAACGTGTGAGGAAATTTTGTTTTTTTTTTATTTTTTCCCTTGTACAGCTTGTACAAACTTGTACAGCTAAAAATAATTTTGGAAAAAAACGTGGTGATGTTTACTTATAATTTAAATAAAAATTGAAGTGAGGGAACCGGCAAACCCCAATTTTGGAGATAAGAAATTTTAGTTTTTGATTACGCTTTTTTTAGGTCCTACTCAATATAATTATACTACTCGTTACAATTATTAAACCAACACCTTGTATATAAACCACACTACTACTTCCACTCTTATTCAAAGGGCTGCAACGTGCTTTCCCGCTAGGATCCTAACAGTTGGCTAAGCTGTACCTTAACGGGGCAACGCTGGCCCTATATAATTTATATCCCACTAGAAGGGCGGTTAGCGGTTTCGTGACCAATAAATATAGACTCTTAACTAACAACGATAACAAACATTTATTTCTATTTAATAGTATATTTAAATATAACCTGACTGGATCTCTAGAGATGTTGTGGTATCCAAATTAGGTGAGCGACAGCGGCGAACGTACACAAATCCGATTGTAAATAAATAATAATAATAGTTAAATTAATAGTAGAAAATGGCTATTATCGGAATTAAGTTGTAGTAATAAAAATATAATCTGCAATAAATAATGAGTTGCCGCGAGCGTGGTAAAATGTCGACTGCCTGTCGTTATATATTTCTTTAATGAAAAAGAATATCATCGGTTTTGTTTACACCCGCGCGTGCCGCATATCTGTAGTAGGTCATAGGGACGTTTGTGCTGATCAGGCACTAGTGTGGTATTGAAATGTTAATGTTGGTGAAGGACGAATAATGTGTACGTTACAGTTCGCCCTCCCCCGGTAAGATTCGTCTCTGAATCTTTTAAAAGAAAAACAATACAGTGAAAAGGGAATTGTTGATAAAAGTACATAAATCCTGAAAATAAAGGTAATGTTATTGGTTGATCAAGGAGGTACAGTGTCATCATAGCACAAAACCACTTGTTGTTTTCGATGACCACACTCCTAGGTTCGTAGGCTATTGAGCCTTTGAGGAGCTTCCTTCGGTGGAGCTTTCAATAGTCGGCTACCAAGTGGTTCCTATGAGAAGCTCTGCCCTGTCGTCGGCTTCTTGATAAGCCTCGGGGCACCAAAGTTTGGCAACATTTTGTTCACGTGGTTTGTGTTAGATGGACAACGTTTAATTGCATTTAAAAATTATCAGGGTAAAAGTCGACATTGTAAAATTAACCTTATGCATGAATATAAAAAGAATAATAATAATAGTAATAATAACACTAATAATATAGGTATAAAGTTGATAATTAATTTAGTTAACATTTAAAATGTATTTGAGTTACTTTAATCTAATGTAAGTAGTCAAAACGTTGTCAAAAAAACCAAGCTTACATTTACATAGGTGTCTTAGTTACGTTAATCATGCATAAGCAAATGTTTATTTTAAAATGGACAATTGATTTAAGAGAGAAAAAAAAAATGTCATCTCATTCGTAAAAGTCAGATCCAGTTAATATACGCGCAATAAAAAAAAAATTTACAATAGCGAGTTCTTGAAGTGGCAGACTTGCGCAGGGGCCATGCTAATCTTCTCTGTATCGTTCCAATTTTAGTATATGTACTGCCCAAGTCATGAGTCTTTAGTTGGTTTTGTAGTTTAATTGTTAACTGTCGACTCAAAATACACTTCGTATTATACTCTTTATAAGACAATATTGTAACCATCAAATAAATTACAACATGAAAATAAACGTAATCAAATCATTGCTAATTTGAGTAGTTCACAAATAAAATGTAAAATTAAAATTTTTGATACCAAAAGTAAAAAAAACATATTTTACTCGTATAATATGTCTGGATTTACTGAAAGTGGCTTAAATAAACGTTTAAAAGAACTAAATTCATCACAACAAAGTATTCAAACTTTATCACTTTGGTTAATTCATCATCGAAAGTATGCTCATACAGTTGTCAAAATTTGGGCTAAGGAAATATCAACAGGAAATGAGGCCAAACAATTAACATTGATGTACCTTGCAAATGATGTTATCCAAAATGGTGAAAAAAAAGGACCTGAGTATGGACAAGAGTTTGGCAAAGAACTGGCTAAAGCTTTTAAACAAATTTCATTAAATAATTGTACTCTGAAAACAAGACAGAGCTTGACACGGTTATTAAATATTTGGGAGGAAAGAGGTGTTTACAGTAAAATTCAAATTGAAGAATTCAAAGATTCTTTTGCTACTGAAACTGTAAATAACTCAACGGATGAGCCACCAAATAAAAAAGTTAAACACACAGAAAACCATAAAACAAAAAAATCCAAATCACAAAATAATGGATTAAAAAAAGAAAAAGAAGTTGTTGTAGAAATTGATGGTACTAAAGAGTTGCATGTTACTTTATCGCCAAAAACTCCAGTTAATGATCCTCCAGAACCAGAAGAACTAATCAAAGCACTAAATGATTTAGAAAATGCACCATCATGTGATGCAGTAGTACGAGAAAGAATTTCCAAACTTCCACCAGAAATTGCAGATGTGAGCTTGTTATCTCAATTAAAAGGTAAGAGTGAAGCTGAAGATCTCTTACGTAAAGTTAATGATGCTGTAGCTTTATTGACTGATTATAATACGAGATTAGTGTGTGAAATGGAGGATCGTAAAAAAGTAACTGCTATGCTACAAGATTTTATTCAATCCCAAAGAGATTTAATTGATCAAGCTGAACAAAGATTGCAGGAGTATCAAGGTAAATTGCAAAAAGTTTGTCAAGTGCGACAAGAGGTTAATACACATTTACAGAACTTACCCGGCGCCTCCACCAGACTGCAACGTGCTTTCCCGCTAGGATCCTAACAGTTGGCTAAGCTGTACCTTAACGGGGCAACGCTGGCCCTATATAATTTATATCCCACTAGAAGGGCGGTTAGCGGTTTCGTGACCAATAAATATCTAATATCTTTTAAAATACTGGTTTAAAGTCGTTATTGACCAGTCAGTTTTTTATTTTTAAACTATTTAAATATATATTTTTATAGTTGAAAAACTTAAGTTGTTATTTCTTTAAAGGAAGGAGAGAAATAAGAGAACCCTTTTTTTTTTTTGAAAATTATAAATCATGTCCAAAATAGTAATTTAAAAAAATTGTTATTTAGGACGATACTATTAACTTCTAAAAAGGAAAAATTATAATATTACATTTTATAAAGTTCTGTGTGAGACATTAGGGTGGCTCTCAAAAATCGAATGACTTTTTTTTTATGCTACCCTTAATTTTTTTTTAATGGTTAAAAAAATGAGCTGTGCAAAATTTGGTACTGATCCGTTTAGGTTAACCCGTGCCCGTTAAGTTGAGTCGAAAAATCAAATTTAATAGAAATAACTGATCTATTTCATAATTTTTTTTTTTGCTTAACTTAGAATTATAAAAGTAAAACTCAAGTAAAGGAAATTTTACAAGAAATTTAAAAATAATAACTTCAATGTTATTTTCTTAATAAATAGCCCACAAAAACACTATATATAGTAAAAAACATGTAAAAGTCTTAAAAATACGTTATAACTGATTTTTACTTATTTATTTTAATTTTATTCTTTGGAAAACGCATATTAGTTTAAAAAGTTAATTAATAATTAATTACAAACCTATCAAAATTTATTGTATTATTACATGTTTTGTTTAAGGAAAACAATTTATTTTTTGGTTATAATTTATTCTTTTTGATTAATACTTTTTGACCACTAAATTATATCTAATTGAGACCTCTCTTAAAGTGTATAATATGAATGTTAATCATATATTTGAAAAACTTAAGTTGTTATTTCTTTAAAGGGTGGAGAGAGGAAAAAGAACCATTTTTTTTTTTTTGAAAATTATAGATCATGTCCAAGTTAGTAATTTAAAAAAAATGTTATTTAGGACGATTCTATTAATTTCTGAAAAGAAAAAAATATAATATTACATTTTATAAGGTTCTGTGTGAAAATATTTAAACGACGAATTTATAAAATAACCGTATGCATGCACTGACATACTTATGGGAGTGGGGATATAGGTGTCATATCCTTTCCAAAAAATTAATGATATGGTAAATATACAATTTGTTTTCATTTGTAAGGGAAGTGAAAAATTGTTTATGTATATTGCCCCTAAAAACAAAACCCAAATTACGCCACTGATCGTAACTAATAAATTAAAAGAAATATTGAAAAAATGATTAACAAATTGTTAGTACATAGTCGGCTTTTTGTTTTTTTTTTTTGTTAAATAAATTATACTTTTTGTTTTTATAAATGACTTATAATTTAAAATTTATTTTAAAATATAATTTTTTTTAATGATACAAATTGAGTTTTTTAAATTAAAATATGCAGATATTAATTTATTTACCATTAAAATAAATAGTGTGAAAAACTGAAATAGTTTCTGTTCAACTATTAAAATAAAATTTTATAAAATTCGTTTAATCAAAATCGAGTTAAAATATAAAAAAATCTGTTTCTAAGCGTGTTCTTCTTAGAAAAATTACAAATTATATGACTAAAATCCAAAACGAATTAAAAAGTACTTAAAAAATATTTTAATTATTATTATAAAAATTAATTACAACTTAAGGATATCTTACAATTGTTTATACCATTCAATTATTAAAATAGAAGTAATTTTCTTAAAGTTGTGGAGTTTAAATGCATACCTAATCTTAGATTTTTTTATTAATCAAAAAAAAAAAATTCTTAATTAGAAACCAAGGTAATATATTTTATTACAGTGATGAAGTAAAAAAATATTATCTATTGCCGTCTAAACTAATGACGCATTCCATTTTTTTCATTTTCCATTCAACTTTATGTACATAAAAAGCAAAAAACTAATAACAAATCATTAAAGAATTCATTGTAATGATTTATTTGAAAAAACTGTAATATACTTTATTATTACACGCAAACTGAATAAAACGTGAGTATTATACAAATAAAACATTTGGAATTAAAATCAAATTTTACAGTCTACATAAAACAAAAGGAAATGAAGTCAAAAAAACTTTTTCATTAGCCATTCTGTACGAAATCCTTCCTAATCATATACAAATAATATTTTAGCATTAGAAGCTAAGTGAAGAGGCGCATATAATTTAATTTACGACTCAGATTAATTGAATTGCGTTTTAAGAGAGCGTGAAAGGTGTTCAAATATTTGGTCTCTATTAATAATAATTAGGAGTATAATTCCTGTATATACGGTAAAGCACACTTCATCGGATGCCCAAATCATGAACCCCAAAAGTATGACACATTGACATGACAGTATTTTTTAACGAATATCACTAATATTTATCTACAACATTGTGAATTCGTATAATAATCTGAGTTTCTCTTATACCTACACGCGTATTTCATAAACATCAACGTTGTTGACACGAAACAGCTGTAATAAACCAAAAATAAAAAGAAAAAAAAGTAAAACTTAGAACTTAAAATGGTTAGAATTTATAATTATAAGATGAGATGAATGTGATGAAATAGGCTGTAGGTGTTGGGGACGAATGGTAATAAAAATTATTTAATAAGAAGGTAAATGGCGGAGTAACACATGTTTAAATGTGGCAAGATATGTAAGGGTGCAAAGAATATAATAATATGAATAAAGAAGAATTCAGAGGGGTAAATAAACGANGCAAAGAATATAATAATATGAATAAAAAATGATTCAGAGGGGTGAATAAACGGAGTTTAAATACATGAGGGTAATGATCAAATAAATAAAAATGCACAAAAACGTTGTGACAAAAATAATGAACTGATCTCGGGGTTGAACAATATTGAATAAATGAAGTCAATTATCCTACCAAACTTTATTACCTATCTTAATGGTTTATTACGCAATACAGTATTTATAATTTGAAAGCGGGAATTTAAATTTGTACTTACCTTGTATCCCACGTAGTGTAATGTTTATTTTTGACAATCCAATGTTGATTATGAGTTTACACTGTATTTCACACGTTGTACACTTTGATTTCGACAGTAAATATGACCGTTTGAGAATAAAGCGTTTAATTATAAATAATACGAAACCGTTACACAAAATCTATGACTGTATTATTGTATGCAAGAGATTCTATACACTCTATATTTTTATAATTATAATCAAATAATGTATCTTTAGTTGACTTAGTAGAATGAGTATATTGTTTGAGAGATCGACACCAATATTTCTTAAATTTTCCTCTGGCCTGACCAAAACAAGATTCAGAAATATTTATATCTATGTAAAAAATTTTAGGACTGAACGTTTTTTTTAAATTACTAATTTTTGGTAATAACCTTTTTAATTAAAAAATACCAACTAAAACAGTCTAATATGACCGAGGAGCCAAACTTTTATCAAAAATAATACTTTTTTTCTTTTAGTCTAATAAAGCCTAATATAATTTAAGTTAATTTTTTATTAATCTTTTATTAGTCAATCTAATTCAAGTCTAATATAATTAATGCATTCATTTTTTTTATTGTCGGTCTTTTTATTGTTTATTAAATATTGCAGTCGACAAATATTTGAATATATCCTCTATTCTTCTTTTTTTAAAACACAATAACATTTCCTGCTTACTGATTGAATCTGAATTACGATTTTGATTTTGCTAGATAGATTTTAATGCGATCTCAAAATAAGGCATTGTTGTTTTTTAACCATACAGTAGAAACAGTCTTATGGGTTTTCAACTTGTACCCTAAAGTACAACTCGTATCCACAAGGATTGGGAAAAGGTTGCAAAGCACATTTATATTCATTGATACGCTGAGGTATAAAAAACCCAGCACAGGGGGGTCGCGGCACAGTGGTGACGTGGCATAGTTGGATCAAGTATAATGATATCCGATAGTGATTAAAATCACTATCAAAATAAAACGCTTCGATGCAAATCTTTAGATAGTGTTTAATTTTAAAAAATTGGTGGATTATTTCAAAAGCTACATGATCTGCTAGTTCCTTATTAATATCCTGATTAAGATAAAGTATGTCGAATGAAAAAGAGATTATTAAAAAATATTATTTCTCATAAAAAAATTGTATTGATCAATACACTTTTCAATAAGTTATAGCATTATAAAGTTAAAAATGTAAAAAATAAAATTGAGAATTTTCACAAAATAATAGGATTTGGTAGCCATTTTCACCGTGAAGACAAAATAAAGTCCGAAATTTTTTTTTTACATAATAAAGTAGATTACATTAGCTTTAATTTAAGATATATATAAAAGTGTCAGACCTTCCGGAACACTTTCAAAAGTTAAGTTGAAAAAGTCAATTTTTTGTGAAAAAGTTGTCATTTTGAATCCCCCCCTGTAGGCAGGTAAAAAGTCAGATTTATAAAAAAAATATACCAAATGATAGGTAAAGACATCATGCATCTACAAAAAAAAGAATTATATTGATCCATACATCTTTCGAGAAGTTATAGCATTATAAAGTTAAAAATATAAAAAAGAATTTTTTTACAAAAATCGTATTTTTTTTATTAAGTTTAATGTCTGTTTTCACCATGAAGATAAAATAAAGTCCGAAATTTTTTTTTACCATTATAAAGTATATTACATTAGCTTTAATTTAAGATATATATAAAAGTGTCAGACCTTCCGGAACACTTTCAAAAGTTACGTTGAAAAAGTTCTACTTTCTATATGCATTTTTATGTTTTGAATCCCCCCTGTATTTAGGGAAATGGTCCGATTTAAAAAAACAGTATGTCGAATGAAAGATCTATATAAATACTACTTCTCATAAAAAAATTGTAATGATTCATACATTTTTCAAAAAGTTATAGCATAATAAAGTTAAAAATGGAAAATACAAAATCGAAAATTTTCAC